GGGTCTTTGCGGGATGCCGAGTCTTGTAAGGGTTCGACTCTGATGGAGTCCCTGGTTGGAACCCAGTTACAAACCTTAATCTATTCAGAGGGTACAGACCCCTCAAACAGATTTCAAACGCTGGAATCAACCCTGCCAAGGGGACACCTTTCCTTCCTGGGTACAATTCCTTCCCACATGGCTTAGTCAGCTCTACCTCATCCCCTACTACTCTCCTACGGCTGGGGCATTCTGCTCCCTCTCGTTGCAGTTCAAAGCCACTACAGAGTCTATTAGAAGTGTCAATGTCTTATGGTTACAAAATCCCCTCCCGGAAACTGTTGCTCCCTTTACAAACACCCTTCTTGACACCTAACTCACTGATCCACAGCCATGTTCAGCTCAACTTGGGATTTTTTGGGCTTCACCCAGCGTGTGGTCTAATTTTACAGCGGGGTGGATGAACAATCAGTATAATAAACCCATCCACAGGCCTACACGACCTCAGAGCAGCTCAGATGGGAGGGAAGTGAGTTTGTACAAGGCAAGCAAATACATCAAATAGAATCTAATCAGTTGGCGTTACGGTTTATTCACTTCAATAAACTCTCCTGTGAAGTTCTCGTTTCAAACTCCGATAAGGGTCCAATTTATTCATTTTTATAGATTTGAGTTACGGAAAGTCACCCAATGCTTTGCAGCACGAATTTTTTCAAATTGTATTTGATTATGTTTGTAATGACCCTGAAATGTCACAACCAAGCAACAACCAAGGCCCAACCCGGCAACGAAATGATCCCTGTCCGGAATAGGCCTGAGTGTGACATCTCAGGTCCAGTTTCAACACAGCCAAATACAATTCAAAAAAATTCACACTGCAAAGCATTATGCAAGGCACTGTAGGAGTCCTAGTCAAACGTCCGCTTCATCGAGGTTGGGCGAGGTGCGTCTTTGTGGAAATAGATTCTCAAGAAACAACTACTGATTCCGTTGAACAGTCCGAGTCGTCCTCCTCAAATCTGGCCCCTTCTCCGGAAATATCGCCGTCATCGCGGAGATCATCGACCACAACCGCGAATGCCTTCTCAGAATGCTCACAGAAGCTCACTAACCTCCACGCAGGCCCAACAACGGGTGTTCCCCGCCAATCCTATCCCTACAACACCTCGCCCTCACTCCCCTCAAACTCTCAGGACTGCCTCGAGGAGCTGGTACGAAAAAGGTCCGCAAAGAGATCGAGGAGGAGGCCCGGACAAGTCAAGTTGGGCGCAGAACTGGGTCGCGGTGCAGAAGAGACGGGCGTTGTCCGATTTCGGTCGCTTTAGCGTCATGCAAGCGTGCTCTCGCGAAAGTTGACCGTTTGACGCGTTGATTTTGCCAATTGGTGGCCTAAACGCGGTGGTATCGACGACAAACGGAGGGGCAGTTTTCGTGGTTGGTCTACGGTACGTACCCCCTATGTTTGCCACATTCGAAGCGCACGACGTCTTACTATGCAGTCCACAGTTTGCCTGGCATGCTGTACTCCCCTGAAACTCAACTCGGGCGTCTCTGGAATATGTCCAGGCTGGAGACGTCTAACAATGTGTTCGGGACGACGAACGATGGAACACGGGTGCTCGCGGATGGTGGAGGAGAGGCTAGTCGTCCTGCGGTTGATATTTTGTGCTGTGTAACAGGTGAGCGGTTGAAGCGTTAGTATCCATGGTTCGAATGACGATATCCGTCCAAGACACCTCAACTGCCAGGAGCGATGCAAAGGACAGTTGGCCTGCACGCACGAACTCCTGCGCCGGTCGTCTGGCCCGTGCTCGGTGACGATCCTGTCATCCGGTTCTTCTTTGAGGCCTTCCTCAGCACTTTGGACTGCAGCTCCACCAACGGGTCGCCTAACGATAACAACCTACCTCCAATCCGACACTTCATGCGCTTCCGAACCTGTTTGGAATCTTGAACCCACACCTCACAATTTATGATCAACGGCGGAATATACGTGGCCTAAGTTCTACCTGTCGAAGTATTGAATGTTACGGCAAAATGGGTCGTTCTGCCGCAATAGGTACTTATCCCTGCTCGTGCGGATTAGTAACGAGGTTAGTGGGGAGGGCAAGAAGGAGAGCCGGGATGTGAAGCAAGCCGAGGATGGATGACAGGAGGGGAGCCAGAATGGTTTCTAGTGAGATAGCGGAAGGGCCAGCTATGTGTGCTCGTCTTTTGTAATTACATGTTTGTCTTAGGTTTCTGGTGGTGTCTCCATAGTGGATTGACTTGACGCCGAACCATGCGACTGCACGTCTTAACGGACCTTGAATGTCAGCTGACCTTGTGAAGCGCAAAAATTATTGACGCCACACACTCTCTTCTGAACCACCATGACTGATTCTGTTGGCCCCAGCGTGTAGGTCGACTTCTGCAAGGGCGCCTGACGTTGCAGGGGACGGGATGTCTCCGGTATCTGCTTACAATACACAACTGATTTTTCTGGCTCACTTCCCTTTCTTCGGGCACCCCAGCATGTATTGCAGGGAGTTCACAACGTTGTTATGAGGGATTCCAATTTCTATGTGGCTCAAAAGGTGTGTCCGGTGATGACAGCATGGTTTGGAATATTGATTGGACCTTTTTGTCAAGATTGAAGTTCATGAAGATGGCGGTCGGGATGATAGTACACTCCTTGTAAGTTGTTCCGCAAAGAACCAAATTCAACTTATTTACCAAGGGGGTGCCGGCATTGAAAAAAAAGACCCGGGGTCGATTTTTTTTTAAAGGCGACTTGAGATGATGGACTAACTAACTAACGTAATCAGGAACATGTCTATATATAGTAATATGACATCATTTGTGAGTGCTTTCCCCTGTGTCTTGCACAAGTCATGCAGGCACAATTCCGGGGTGCTTGCACATGTTCCACACATTTTAGATGGAACTAGGCAAATAACGTGAGTTGGAAAATCACTCAGTTCTCATAATACAATGTACTTACCTAGTTTGTCTCGCACACCTTGTTTGCATATGAGGATTTGATGAGGATACACAGCTACCACAGATTGCGAAGCCCTCCGCATCAAGGGCAGGTGGCTCTGTCTCAATGGTGTGATACATAGAATGTGTGAAACCAATGTTAGACATACTGTAGATTTTAGGATATTGTTGGTCAACGGTAATTCAAGTAATGTCAAAAAAATTTGAAAAAAATGCCCAAATATGGCAGGAATTAATGAATATCTTATATCACAGTGCTTGATGGCCTCTATTGGAGCTGTATTCCTCCCAGTACATTCTGTAGTTACCATATTATGCTGCAAGGTACTCAACTTGATGATTGAAGGCCTTCTGCCCAAGGCATCCTTTTTTTTTTTTCACAGCCTGTGGCTGGACTAACTAACCGGGTCCCGGTATGGGATTCCCGGGCCGGCACCCCCTTGTTATTTACAGGTCGTCAGGATGTTCTTGAGGGACTGTTATCCTCTATTCATGCGGATCAGATCGTGTTGGAAATTAAGAAGGAACTAGAAGACCTCAAAGCAAAGCTGGAAGCTATCCTGTCGATCGTCAAGCAGTATCAGAAACACAACATCGAGAGTGCATTACGTAACCGACTTGATGTATTCTGCACGTCCGTCGCTGTTTCATGGTTTTTTTTGTCATGTTTATATCCATTAATGTTCCGCAGCGCTATCACCACAGAATTGAACTCGATCGAGGACATGCAGAAGGAGTCACTGAAGGATGCAGATACAATACTGAAGGCCATTCGGAACATCAACAGCCTGTGCGACGTCTTTCAGGTTGGTTTTTGAGTCATCAACGCTTCACGTGGACGTTGAGCCCTTCTTAAGATGGATACTCAACTGACCATCGGGGGGATGGTAGGCGATATCTTATAGGTACGGTACTCTCGCTACTTTAGGAGCAGCTTTGATGAACAAGCCCATAGCGCCTGAACTCTCGTGAGAAAAACTATACCAACAGAACATAGCTTCACGGTGCTCACACATGCACAGGTTCCCTCGAAAAACTCAATCACGAAATGACATCCTATAAAACTCGATAGTCGTCTTACGGCGACCCCACCGGCTGCATGCGAGGGACCCGCGTAAAGGTCCTCGAAGAATTGGACACTTGGGCCTCAAACCCCAATAGCAGCAAGGTATACTGGATGGTAGGTATGGCTGGAATCGGAAAATCGGCGATCGCGCACACGTTTTGTGAGAACCTCGAGGCGAAAAACATTCTTGGCGGCAGTTTCTTCGCTTCTCGAGCATCCGAGAAAACTAGGAACGCACGCCTTATTATTCCCGTTATTGCACATGCGCTCGCCAGAGCTTCACCCGTATCAAAGTTGAGGTTGTCAAGGCCATCGAGGATGACCCTACTCTGGCGGAACCGACCTATCTAAATATAAATGAGCAGTTCAAGCGGCTCGTTTTCAATCCGGTTCGAAAAACCACCAGCTTGGCGGATAAGCTATACAAAGTTGTCGTTATTGATGCCGTCGATGAATGTGTTAACATTGAAGTCGTCGCTTCGTTCATTAAACTTGTCCTTGAATGGGCATCGGAAATTCCGCTCAAGATATTCCTAGCCAGTCGAGATGAATATCGGATTCGCAATGCTTTCAAATCTAGGGATAGCATTCGATTTTATCTTCATGAAATCGAGAAGGACGTGGTTGAGAACGATATTCGGAAATATCTCGAGACATCATTGGCCCACATCAAGGATGACGACAGCGCGGAATGGCCCTCGTCAAGTGAACTGTCCAGTCTCGTCGCACGTTCCGGCACACTCTTCATTTACGCGGCGACTGCCGTTCGTTATATCACCAATGGTGGCGAATACTATAAGTCCCGTCTTTCCGCAATGGTGATCTATGGCCAGAAACCACTCAACAAGTTTGAAGCTGACATTGATTTCCTCTATGCACATGTCTTGGAAAAGGCCTCTGAAGACAAGGAGTCGCATGAAGTTGATCATATGAGAAACATCTTGTCGATCACCATATTCCTTCGGGATCCATTGTCGATGGAAGCTATTACATGTCTATCACTGGAAAGCAATGCGCATTTGTATTTGTCGCCACTCACCTCTGTTATCCACATTCCTGATCAACCAGGGGCCGTGGTTGCTCCATTCCATGCCTCATTTCCTGACTTCATAACCGATCCCAAACATTGTTCTCCTGAACATTTTACTTCCAAGCGCTCCGCATTCCCTGCTTTGGATGCTTCAGAGGGTCACAAAATGCTTGCCCTCAAATGTTTGGAGCAGATGAACAGGTCACTGAAGTACAACATATGTGGAATCCCCAAAGAATTAACAGTGTCGCGGAGAGACACGACCAACTCTCTGCAAAACATTGACAAAATCTCTGAAGCGCACAAATACTCATGTATCCATTTGGCTGCTCATACCTTACCTCTTGCAAAATGTAAGGTCGACTTGATCCCGTGAATGAAGGATAAAGCAGGACATACCTCTGAGAACACAAGGACCTTGATACAGTGGGTATAAAGCTTTGGCATATAGAATGCGATACGTTGGGAAAAAAAAACGGAGCGGAAGGTACAAGCTGAGGCCTGCGCTGACAACGAAGGACAGTCTCGTCAGTTTTTACCTCTAGAAAATGGTTTAGAAACGAAAGGTTCGAAGCGGGAGGATAGAGACTCATGATGTGAGAAATATATCATAACGAAAAGATGAGATTTGCAAAGCCCGTCTTCAAAACGGTCGAGGTCCAAAGTGGGATGCGAAGCCTGAATATCGGATTGGGTGGAGGGTGTCCCTTCATTCATCAGTACTTTCGTGTGATGCTCTGTAGGGGCGGTAAAAACGGCGATAACAATGGACATAAGTAGGAGCGAACTGGAAAAGAAGAGCACAGGAGCTGTGATCCGAAATCGGGGATACGAAACCATAGGGCGGAGGGAGACTCCTTGGCATTCGCCGTATACCGCATCTGGGCCTTAGTTGAGTAGCACGCCAGCTGCGGAAAGAGAAAAACTCACAGTTCGTCGGCTGCTCAAGTAATCCTTCTCTGGTGGCCACAAGGAGGCAAGGACAAATACCCACTGCGTAAAATGGAGACGAGCAAGGGGAAGAGTCGAAGCCCCGCAAATAAATTTAGAAAAGCGGTTCCTGCACACGATTTTGCATTAGAAGGAAGCCAGCACATTGATAATCAACGCAAGTCTACCGCATTTCTCATCTATCTCCCTCTGCTGTCTAACTCTTTCTACCCTCGCCTCAGCCTCAGTCTCCCGCAAAGCAATCCGAGCCCACGACGGAAACCCACCCTCATCATAAGCCTCTTCTCAGCCTCCACCCACGTCCAACCCTCCGCCTCGAGCGGCGCAACTTCATAAGCATCAAGGTAATCTTCGTCGGTTGCGGCTGGTCGGTAGATGCTTGATAATAAGTTTTTCGGAAGCGCGGACCAGAATGGCATTGGCATCTTTTCGCCAAACTCCTGTGCCACTCAACGTAATTGTTGCGGTCACAACGGCCAATAAACAAGCCTTGAGCTCCATCAAGGAGGAGCTGAGATCGGCTTTTAATACTGTAACAGCTGATATGGGTTCAACGCCAAACGAGAACTCCGACTCGCTTACTTGTCAGACGTGGTGGTGTTGTTCAATGGGGGGGTCACGGCACCCTGTAGCTTGCAATCTTCCGAGATATTCGCGGAGGAGGAGGTGCACTCGAGTTGAGGGCTGAGTGAAGCCCTTCGCGACGTTGCCTAAGTAGCATAATGAGACTTGTGCCGATGACCTGGAGAGGTTGGGTTAAAGTCAATCAGGGGTTCATCAATATTGCTTACGGCGGATATTGGAGGCCATGTACATGTTTTTTAGAGCTTGTCGCCGACCACGACAATGACGAGTCCGCCGTTGATGTTGTTGTTGACAACAAACAAATGCAAATTTTACGAAAAATCACAGCCACATCGACGCATCCACAAGACATCAAGACCCGGCGACCTCCCTCAAGCAAAATATGAGCACAGTGAGTGCCGTTTCTCTGCCAAAGTGTGCAAGGAACCTTTGAAAGGTTTCCATGCCCCGAAAGAACGGAAAAATTGCGGTGGAAGGGGTGGATTGGGTTGGATGGGGTTGGATGACGTTGGCCTTGTCGGAGACGATTGTGTTAAAAAGTGGTCAGAAGATCGTTGGGCTGACGCTGTTTTTGCCTTAGGAATCAAACTTCAAGCGCTTCGTTGAGGTTGGGCGAGGTACGTTGTTGTGGAAATAGATTCCTCCAGAAACAATTACTGATTCCATTGAACAGTCGTCCTCCTCAAATCTGGCCCCTTCTCCGGAAAGATCGCCGTCATCGCGGAGATCATTGACCACAACCGCGTATGTCTCTTCAGAATTCTCCCAGAAGCTCACTGACCACCACGCAGGCCATCATCGACGGCCCAACAACGGGTGTTCCCCGCCAATCCTATCCCTACAAGCACCTCACCCTCACTCCCCTCAAACTCTCAGCCCTGCCCCGGGCAGCTGGTACGAAAAAAGTCCGAAAAGAGGTCGAGAAAGAGGCCATCGTTGACAAATGGGACAAGTCAAGTTGGGCACAGAAGCGGCTCGCGGTGCAGAAGAGACGGGCGTTGTCCGATTTCGGTCGGTTTAGCGTCATGCTGGCGAAGAAGCAACGGAGGGATCTAGTCAGGAAGGCGGTGGCCAAGGCCTAAAGGTTTGAGGGGATACCAGGGCAGATAAAAGGGGTTTACAGCGCTCATACATGCCACTTTGTATGTTATTCCATTACATCCATATCATATGCGCTATGCTTCTCCAATTGCCTACTTGAGTGTTTTGGTGTTAGATTGCAAACGTGCGGCTTCGTCGCTTCGTCAGCATCCTTTTCTGAGCTCAGCCTTCTTATTAAACTCTTCATGTGAGTGGCGCGGAGGTACACTCGGGTTCATCGTCATGGCACTCCATTCCCACTCGTACGCAGCGCCTGGGAGAATGAAAAACGCGAATGAACTCAAGTGAGCGCTCTGACCTCTCTATCCATCCAATCACATCATAACTTTCGTAGCCGAGTAGGCGACTAGCCTAAAATTGAGGCAGTCTGATATAATCGGCCGAGTCCCGGAACCAGCGCTCTTTCTCCTTGGGGTCTACCTCCTTAGCGCCCAGCGCTCGTCGGCCAGAGCTCCACGTCTCATCCACCCCCTCGCATAATCATCCCCCGCACCAAGCCCATCCAGAACTTTGAACACCATGAAACCCGGCATGTTTCCCCTGTTGTTATCTCCCTTTCCTCACTCAGAACAAGGCCATGCCCACAATCACGATGGCAAGTCCTCAGAGGTCAGTACGGTATGCCTCCGATGTCGCGCGCCGAGTAAGCATTTCTGACTACTGCTTATGCAGCTTGGCCGTAACACTCTCACATGAGTCACTAATTTAATTGTCTCGAGGCTTGATCTGCATTCTGAATCTCCGTGGTTGCACAGCACCGTGAAGCTCAGGAATCTCGTCGGACTCGTGATCTGAATGCTCGTAATGAGTCATAGACTCGGTTTTGCAACGTATAAAAGCGCACCTTGGGCAAGTTAAGCCCAGAAGAATCGATCGTGATGGTAGTAGAGGTGAATCCCATCGTGGTGGTACAGGTCCTGTCCATCCTCGGGTTCTACCTGATTTCCAACCTTCTTTCGCGGAAGGGTAATGCCAGTGGAAGGGACGCTCCGCTACCCCCTGGACCGAAAGGAACGTTCTTCGCAGGTGTGAAAGCCCAACTACCCACTTCAGAGCCTTGGAAAACCTACGCGTCATGGGGGAAAAAATATAACTGTACGTCCTTCCTTTCCCACTCCGCCAACAAGCCCTCAGCGTTACTTCCACTACTCAGCGCCAATAATTCTATTCCGGGTATACAACCGCTCATTGGTAGTCCTAAGTACCAACTCCGCGATTCAAACCCTCCTCAACCAACGTGCAGAGCTATACTCCCACCGGCCCATGTCTTGGATGTATAACACCATCTGCGGGCGGGGTCAAGCCATCTTCCAGATCTCCCCCACCGACGCGACTCATAAAACCTATCGGAGGCTCTTACAAACGGAGCTGGGGGTGCGCGGTACGAAGATGTATGCGGGGGTCATCCAAGAAGAATTGGGAAATTTGGTGGAAGGGATGCGAAGTAACCCGGTGCGGTGGGTTGCCCATGTCCAAAGGTGTGAAAACTTGCTTTTATTTTGTGGCTGTTGGTCCTGATGTGAGTAAGTAGGAATGCGAGCGCGGTGATTATGAAGGTCGCGTTTGGGTATACTGTGAAAGAGGACGACGCGTTCATTGCGATTGCTGATGAGGCTTCGAGAATATCAAGTCGGGCGATGCAGCCTGGTAAATGGCTTGTTGATTATTATCCTCTCTGTGTGTAATTCTCAATCCGATTGATATGCTCCGTCTGATTTTTCTTGTAGTGCGTTTTGTGCCAGCCTTTTTCCCTGGGGCTGGGTGGAAGAGACAAGGCCTGCGTTGGAGGGAGAAATTGTGGCACCTGTCCGAGATCCCACACCAGTGGGTCAAAAGTCAGATGGTCAGCCTTCCGCTACCACCTCAATAGCATCACTGACTTCTCCGTACCACAGGAAAAAGGAGATTACACCGACTCATTCACCTCCCGGCTGCTCCAGCGCGACGACAACGAACCACTAACCGCAGAAGAAGAGAACACGATAAAGTGGTGCGCAGGCGGATTGTACGCTGGCGCTGGAGACACAGTACGTTCTCACCCTGCCTCAAGATGACGTGCATTCAATTATTTATTTATAGACCGTGTCTGCTCTTATCTCCTTCGTCCTTCTCATGTCGCTACATCCAGAAGTAGAAAGGAGAGCCCAAGCTGAACTAGATGCCTTACTCGGTGCAGAACACCTTCCTACCCCATCGGATACTGAACACTTACCCTACCTGCATGCGATACTGAAAGAAGTCTTGCGTTATGCGCCGGTTGGCAACCTCGGTGAGCGCAGCTAGACCTCGAAAATTCGCGGTTATATTGACCTCCTTTCAACAGCTCTTCCACACCGTGTCATTGAAGATGACGAATACATGGGATACAGAATCCCCAAGGACGCAACCGTCATAGCGAATGTCTGGTATGTTTTATTTGTCCTTTCTCGTCCAGCGGCGGTTTTCTAAAGAACTCCGTCCTCTCTATCGTAATTTAATACATAGGGCTGTGATGCATGACCCTGAACTATACCCAGACCCATTCACGTTTTCCCCAGATAGATTCACAGCTTCCGATACGGCACGTCAACCTGACCCACGGCAGTTCGCGTTTGGCTTTGGCAAACGTGCTTGTCCAGGTACTCACTCCTTCCTTTTTCTACTGGGATTACGGGTCGCTCAGTGAGACTTCATAGGAATTCATTTCGCTGAGACGACGATGTTGGTAGCCATGGCGGGTATCCTGTCCCAGTTTGACATTTCTTTGCCACACAGGGGGGCCCCTCCACCTTTGGTAGAGTTTACGACCGGGATTACAAGGTATGATGATCAGCTGCTTCGTTCAAAGATGGAATTAATGAGTGGATAGTCATATTAAGCCATTTGAGATTAGCATCGTGCCCAGGGCGATGCAATGATTGAAGTTGGCGGCTGATTTGGGCGCTACTAATTCGCTTCTTGGCATTTTGTTCCACTTGCGGTGTCTCACTTATGTATTACCAGATTACCAGCTGTATCAACTAGAAGCCGATTGGACGGAGATTGGCCTTACAGACTTATGTATCTTTACTATCGAAGACCATTTAATTGGATGTGGAACTCTATATGATACTGATCACTCAAATCATTAATGTCGATTTCTACTTATCGAGGTACGCTAAGGATTTCTAAAGTTCAAAAAGGAGCTCTAACATATTTTCTCCTGTACTTGGAATCAACGCTTTCAAGGTAATAAGCACCGGGCCAAATGTTTTCGACAAGTCCCTCGGGGGTGTAATTTACGGCATTGTGGTTCTTCTCCCGGAGCTGCAGAAGTATGGGACGTAAGCGAACACAGTACGAAAATGGATGAAAACCACATACTTCTAAAGCCTTGATGAACTCCTGAGGAGGAACCACTCTCATGCTCGAAAGCCGTTCCAGGAGGTTCATCTTCTGGCTAATCTGCGACGGATCTCCCTTCACGTGGAGAGTGAAGAAGCTGGAGGCAAAACCGCTGCCAAATGAGAACAAGCTCACGCGCTTTCCTTGAAGCTCTGTGGATTCGACGTTGGACAGCAACGAGGCGAGGCAGCCGTACAGCGACCCAGTATACGTGTTTCCGAGGCGCCGCGAGCAGGACATTCCGGGATCGGTCTTCTGCTTGAACGACGCTTTTGACGCGGCAATGAACGTCTTCTCGACATTCTTATCCTTGAGTGACTCAGCATGTGTCGCAGCGAGGAAGGAGTCTGCGTTTGGGATATTGGCGAATTGAGGTGCTTTAGGGTTATTGAGGAAGTCATTGAATAGCATGCGTGCGTGGCCTTTGACAGCTTGCTTGCCGTATGGGCTGTGGAAAAGGGCATAGTCGACGCTTTGGAGGGAGAAAGACGCATCGTTTGTCAAGTCGGGGCCACGAAGTGCAGCCCGTTTAGCGGCTTTGGCGGCCTTTTGGCGAAAGGCGGTGTAAGCGCCGTCGAGAGCTGCGATATATGTTACGACTGAGACGGGGCCGTCCACCACAGGGTATTCGGAGGAAAGGTTTGGTTTATAGAAGTCGTATGTGTTGCACATGTAGCTTCCGTGAACAGCTAGGTCAAAGTTTGAAATGAGGATCAAAGTATTACACAAAAAAGACGTGAGCTCACGTTCAAAGACCACTGGTGCGTCAGGACCGATGAGAATGGCAACACAGCCTGCACCACCCGCAGGGCGAGCAGCACCCTCAGCGTATACTGCAATATCCCCTGCGACGACAATGGCGTTTCGCCCATCCCATGAGGTCGATTCGACCCAGTTGATAGCGTTGAAGAGCGCAGCAGTACCGCCATAGCAAGCATTCTTTGAATCGATACCTTCGATGTCAAAGTTCCCGGACTCTGCGAAGAGGTCCATAAGCGTCGTTTTTACAGACTTGGACTTGTCGATGATAGTTTCGGTGCCAACGTCGAGGCGGCCGATTGATTTTGGGTCGACATTGAATTTCTCGAGTAACCCGGCCACGGCTATGAATTAAAGTTGAGGATGATAGATAGGAGGGGAAAATGGGTGCTTACCATTGAGTGCAAAAGAGTTGATGTCTTCGCGGTCATCGGGCCATGCCATATATTCCTGGCCTAATCCGATGGTGTACTTTCCAGGTGATACGCCATCAAACACCTCGAGTTCACTTTCCGAAATGCACTGCGCGACATATGATTAACGAAACGCATTCTCGCAATGGAGAAAAGGGTACTACTCGGCGCGGAAAGTAAACTTCCATGGCGAGGATGCCGACGTCCTTGGGGCGGGGGACTTGGCCGCCAACAATGGGTGCGGTCATAGGGATCGTCATCTCGGTAGTCAAGGCTAAGTGAGAAGAGACGGGTGAGAGGTTGTGATGAGACTTTCAACGATCCTCTCCACAGTTATATACACGCTGGAGGCCCACAAACCGAGAGAGAGCAGTTTTGCAGCATGAATTGATGTGGATGTGACTGTCGGCTTCGGGTTCCTTCTACGGCGAACCTCAAGAAAGTCAATGGCCGACCCTCGACCGAGGGTCCCATCATGCAGATTTCGCTACACCGGGTGTAAACGCTCTGATCCAATTGACCAAGTTTTGAAGCCTACAACACATCTATCAGTAGAAGAGTTGACTTGGAGTTGACTCGGAGATTACGCAGAATCTCTGGTAAACGTTTGCGTTAGTAAATCTAGACAAAGACATGACAAACTTGCAAAAGCGAACCTAAAAGAACAATTTCCGAAAAAGATCGGAGTTCAAAAATGTAGGGTGCGGCATGTGCCGTTCTCCAAACTCGTCCCCGAGGCTAAAATGATGTACAGAAATGCGTGATCTCGACAATAATAGTTCGAAAAAAGAAAATGATCACGACATCGGCCACTCAAATTCGGACGCTTGGTTTTACGGTTGTAGTTGTAGTGTCATCTTCTTGATGTCGGTAAGCGCTCACATTGTCTAAGGCGAATGCTTACACCGTGGGTTCAATTATGTTCGGCGGCGTTCCACCCCAAAAACATCGATAAAAACAAGCATTATATCCAAACGATACCAGTTGCAATTGAACTACTGAAAAAAACATACAGAACCGCGGTATTTGCCTGTTATGACGGTGTGCCAGCTGACCCCGGGGAAGCATTTTATCGTCTACCACTGGCCTCCGGCGTCACATTTATAATATTTAGATTGATTATTACATGAAAATCAAACGACTTGCTTTGTTTCCACTGTCACTACTTCTTTTTTGTTATCCTCATCCGAATTCCTGCTATCCCGACTCGAGTGACTGTCGATGGTTCGCACAGGCCCGGTGAACCAGTGGACACCCCCATACTTCGGGAGGTAATACCAAAGAATAGAGACAGCCAGAACACCGCCGAGGACAACAATAGTGTAATTCATATCCGCAACGCCTGGATGGGGGGTGCTCGGGAAAAGGAAAACAATCGACATGAAAATCATGAATAGCACGGCAATGACTGCAACTGGGAAACCCTGTGACATGCTTAACTCAAGCGACAAGGAATTCCGTGAAGAATATGGCTTACAAATACTCCGAGATTGTATGGACCAGGAATAAAGTCGTTGTTGCCGAGAAATCTGCAGGAGATGGGTATTGTGTATGCGATATAGAGAGACGTGATAGATGTCGTAAAAACAGCACCGATGGCCTGATCTCCCGCGAAGGAAAGCAAGCCTAATAGAGTTGACAAGAAGGCCACGAACCAAACCGTATGAACGGGGGTATTCGTGGAGCGGTTTATGCGGTACAACCAGCCTGAAAATGGAAGACCTAATTATAGCAATCATATCGTCAGTCTTCTTCCATATCAGCAAAATCTCTTTACCTCCGTCACGACTAAAAGCAAAGGTCTGCCGGCTGCTTGCCAACAACTGCGATGTACTAGTCAGACATCGCGAAATATAGTCTAAATTCATCAAACTTACCACGCTAGAGCCCATCATGTACCTCGAAGAAAAAGTCAAAACAACGTTCGAGTATTATGGGGGAAAGAGTCTCACTGAGCGAGCACAATCATCGACCACAAAGTTAGAGTTCCTTTCTGACCGAGACTGTTGGCTAAGATATGCGCCATGGGCTGGGGGCTGTTTGCGATTGCCGTTAAATCATTGCCCATGCAGAACGCCAACGATAGATTGACGGCTGAACAGAAAATCAATCGATTTTCTCTTCAATGCGGAACAAGACTGACCCAATCCGAGGACAGCGGAAACCACAATAGAACCCACAATAGCCCACGGAACAGCTGTCGCTGCATTTGACGCCTCTTCGCTGAGATGGACGGTTCCATCAAAGGAACCTAGAACCGGCAATGAATTATGGAAATGAGATATGTCCGTCTGGCTTACAAATTGTCCAAAGTGGCGCCAAAAAGCTCAGAATGAATGCATAACCATTCGACCATCCGTGAACTAGAGAACAACATATTAGAATGGCAACCGAATTTAAGGTGGTGAAAATTAACAGTTCTGAAAATCCCACAGGGCCACTTTTGCTGGATTTCTGAATTCGGATGGAGTCGCAGCAGGCAGTGCGATGATCACAGCTAGGGATAGTCTGGGGGTAAAGTGAGTTCAACGGTGCCGATGGAACAATTAAAAGTCTAACAAGACATTCAGGATGATATAAACGGTTTGAAGGCGAGCTAAGAGTGCCGTTCCTAGAGAACAAACAACTCCGTGTGAGAGAACAATGGCTGCGTAGAGGGCACTGCACAAGTAGTCGTAAGTTCATCTTGGCCAATATATAATAAATACCTGGCTTACTACAGTTGCACTGCTGAAGGCTCAAATGCTCCGTTGGAGCCAATCGTGGCAGCCGCCATTATTTGAACAGCACATCCCCAGTCAATTGAGGCAACTCCGGCAACTGAGCCAACCGTATTTGAGTCTGATGCATCTTTGTGAACAGGGATTATTCGTTTAGTAGATATTCACCTACATCCAACGATCCAACAGAGGAGAGTCTTCCAACGTGGAGACGCAAGGGAATAAGTCCAGAAATACAGCTGGTCATAATTGGTAAGAATGGCGGCTCAAACTGATTAGCGGAACGCACCCCTCCAGATGTCGGCGCAGCAGAACCCAACTCCGCCACTGCCATTCCAACGAATACTATAAATAGGCTTGCAACCGACCACTGTATCAACGCCCAGCCCAAATAACTTAAGAGCATAACCAAGTGCATGGGCGGGTTACGTACACCCCAAACCATTGTGGGACCCCCTCCGTTCGCTACCGCAAAGACAAGTACCGAAGACATGGAGGGGATAAGGCCGATAATCGAAAAAGCGACTCCAAAAACCTAGGCGGGATGAATGAAGCAGAGGGTGAAGATAAGAAATGTCACTCACCTCAAGTGGCGAAAATTCCCGCTTAAGTTCTTGTTTGTAGCCCAGAGTCGCCAACAGCTTTTCGTCGTTCTGTGCAATGTCGCGCAAGGGATCGTTCATTTCGAGGCAAATTTGTGAGGGTGGCGGAGACGTGATGGTTTGGAGTGCCGGTCAAGGGGCTTTCTTCAACCGCCATAGGATGTTCTTGTATAGTTCGGCACGCTGATACCGTGGTACGGCATGACCTCATACCCTTGAGGAGGAAGAGGAAGGGAAGTAATAGATTCGCACAAATGCCGACTTCTTCCCCATCCAGTACGAACCAGGGGGCCTCAAAAGTTCGCAGTCCTCGAAAGCTCGCAAATCAGCGGCTCAATCCTTCAACCCCCCCCCCCATCCGACGGTCGCCAGACGGCGGGTGGGTCATTGCAAGTGACCTGCCTAACGTATAAGGTGCGAGGTAACAACTTCCACCAGCTGGCCATTTCAATTTTGTATCGAAATCAATCTGGAACAGGCCGCAACATTTGGGAGAAACTGTCAGAACGAAGTTAATCACACATCTCCAACCATGCCTTCATGATCACGAACCATGAATGGGAGAGAGGAACCGAGAACTCGGAAGAGTTGATTTCCACTTCGATGGTAACTCCTCCGTAACTCTCTGAATCACACGATTCACCGGAAAAACCCGCCGTAAATAAGTATAGAAGTCAAGGCTTCTAACATGCCCGGAGGATTCCGAGTTTGCCAAAGATTCTTGTAGTCAAGCTTGCAGTAATAAAATTTAAACCAAACCGACAGAACATTGATAGACTTTTGTATCGTGCATTTCTCGCAAGCGCATAACTATAGCATGACAGTAAAGGACCAAGAGCATTGATAAGGAAAGACGGCATTGGTGGATGATAGTGGCAGCTGAGGAGCAATGAGAGCCTCGGAATCGACCTGAGAGGTTGAGTACGGTGTGAGTCCGCCGTGACGCGTGACGCAATGTATGTAAGGTCACGGGAACAATCATACATGTCAGGTTCATGTTCATCGTTCCTTCAAGTTCACGCCTTCATCTTCATCTACGCAGGCTCTTGGACTAATGGACACTATTCAGGCGGCTCATACTCGTTTGTTCTGTGTAACGGACGCCTCGGCCTTCGTGGTGTCAAGATAATCCGATTTCGATGGTGCTCAGCACTGCTCTCCCAAGCTTTTTGCACCCTGAAGGCCATCATTTCAAGTGCGATGATTCATCAATATTGGTTGATTGAAAGCGCACGTCAACAGTAACATCTTTCTTAGCTTGGTCCAATATCCATAAAGAAGTCAGAAGATTCCCCTCACTATGGTCGCTGAGGTTCGGTCGCTCTTACAAGTGCTGGCACTTTTCCAGTGGAATTGTTGCCAAACTTCGACCTATTTTCTGGCTTCCCCCAGCCCCACAGAGAACATGTGCATCAACGGAGTTTGTGGTTCTGATGCAAGGTTGCATCTTAGGCCTTTGGCAGACCGTATCTCCACCACCCCAACCCCTTATCTTGGCCCTATTCAGAATGACCCATCGACCTCCTATCGTCCGCACCTGACGCACCTGAAGAACACAATAACAACTCTATCGCTGATGGGAACCTTCGCGCCGGGCCTTTTTACTCGAGCACTAAACGCAAACCACAGAAATTTGCCGGCGATCCTCACTCCCTAACACGGCCGTATATGGCAGGTTTGGGTTCCACTTGCAGTATTCAACCTGATCAAAAGTGCTATGATGGTGTTCCTTTGCGTCACTCGAACGTGACTTTTCGCCTGCGATTACGTCCCCTTGGAACGGATGACGCGGGCTTGTGAGACGCCGACTCGACTCCGAAACTCTTTGTCCGCACAAACAACAGCTCAACACAGCGTTCTGCTTCCTCAAATGTCCCATCGTGGAATCCTTGGCGGTCTGGCCCATACCCCATTCAACGCTCTGCATTCCTTTGAATCCAAAGTTTTCGGTCTTTTGAATGGCCATCATCACATCCCCCTTCCTATCTAATGTCAAATACTTGGCCAGTTCATGGGCCAACAAGTATTCCCTTCCATCCTGATCAAGAACGAAGTTCTGTTTTCTAACTTCCGACTGCGTATCAGATAAGTGGTCAAAGCGAAATTAATCAAGCCATGCTCTTCCTTCCCTGCTCTCACGTTCCCACATCATGAACTGGCCGTCATTACTCATCACGATTGAAGGGTTGTTGCATCGCCGACATTTCAAGACCGAAGGAGCCCACTGGTGATTGGTGCTGGTCCACCTTCGGGCCCCGATTGTAGTCCTTGTGCACGCACGCGGCTAAAATGGTTCCTACTTTCAAGATCTTAATTCACGAGGGAACAGTCTGCGTTGCTCCGTTGCTGACTTCAATGCAATAAGGCTTGACGGACATAGCCGTGCTTTCGCCTCAACGGCTCTTTTCACAGGCTTACAAGCTTCAGCTTCGGAAACCTGCTCGATCCCTGATTTGAATCGAATCTTCAACACGTTTAACGTCCGTCCCCCCATCTCCACAAATAGTCGTCGCGCCTTACACGAATCGAATACTCTGGGTCGTGCATATTGTGGGAGTGACATTTCGCTTGGCGAGCACGAGAAGGAAAGCAGCAGACTAGCTATCAGTGGTGATAACGGTCACCGGTCGCCCTTGATCTTCTCAGGTGCCAATCACTATTTGATTATAACAACCGGTGTTATCAGGGTAAGCATGCTGTTAAGCTCGCCTATACGCTCCACAATGCCGAGCAAAGACTTGGTTCACTACCAAATTTTGCTTCGGACTTCTGCCGTTCGGAGCATGAGTCTTCCTTTGTGGTCAACTCCCACTTGAATCTTCGGGAGGGCTGGGATACTGTCCTCCGACCGTTTGGCGCTCAAAACTCCCTCGGAATTTGGAAGAATATTCATTTTCTCTTGCATTTCTCAGGCTGTCACGCTCTTCCAAGAAGTTTCGGTGTATCGCTCACACGAACTGTGACTGTTCTTCATCCAGTTCTCAAAGAGTCGTTATCTGCAAGCTATGTGAGTATACAAGTTCAAAAGCGAAAAGGCGGTGGAAAACGCGAAATTTTTGGACTGTTGAGGCAACGGGCCATTGCCAACGGCTGTATGTGTTATTATCCAGGACAACGGAGTCATTTGAATTCGTTGGCCTCCACGGTCGCTGTATGGCTCAGCCCTGGTTTCTCCCCTTGGGTCACTGTCCTTGTATACGCTAGTACGTTGGCGGAACCTACTTACCAGATTATAGACCGCTCCAAAGTGCTAAATCTGCATTTGATTATCCTGAACAATGGGTGGGCGTAGCGGCTGATAGATACGGTCGGCCAGGGTCTATCACAGGTTCTCCAATGGGTTTGGGGCGTCATGATCACACACCTCGAGGGTGATAGGTAGGCTTTTCCGGCGTCCCCTTGATACACCCCTCAATCCTCCCTGGATGTGCTCTTGAACGCAGCCCTACGCAGCCCCTCATAAATATAGAAGCCATACCTCTGCTGAATGCCCCCCCCACGATGTCTTCTGCCATGGAATATGATACGATCGTCTTCGGCCTGGCTGCTACAAAGGTATGTCACTTCTATTAATTTGCAGTCATACCGATTGACATGATTTAACAAAGTATACAACTGGCATGTGGCTCGTCGCATGATAGCGTGAAACGAGAAAAGTTGATATCTGGTCTAACAGTGGCATCAGCGACTATTTTGGTGTGGGACATCATCGTGACGGTAGATCAAGAGGTAAGGCCTTCCGCATTCTGGATCAGCCTTTCTCTTATAATCTCTCTTCAAGGTTTCGATGGTGTGGAGTGCGAAGTTATCTCTGGGCACAACACTTTTTTTCTGCGTGTGTATTTTGTCAAGCTCCGTCAGAAGAGACCGGTTAATTTCTGCTCAGAATCGGTATCTGCCCATCTGCATGTTTGTCCTTGAACTTACTTGTACGGATATTATCATCTGGAGCCCACGCTACTAACGATCCAGGCATTTGAAGCACAACTTTCTTACGCGCCCAGTGAAAAAGTTCAATTTCTCTTCATCAAATCAAAACAATATTCTCATATTGCCTTTTTTTTTTCCAGTTGTATGCAATGTCACTGGCCTTAAAGGACGCTCACGCCAACCCCTTTATAACAGTTGTAGTCAACGCATGCTTTATTCAACGATATTAGGTATATCGTCAGCTGCAGTTGTTCAATGTTGGCATCATTTTTCCTTCCTCTATTCTTTCTCTTACGGAAAATCTCTTCAAGGTGTACTCGTTACGCGAACACACGCCCTCTATCAACAACGATGGCTGACAATTTTTCTGGGGATCTTGGGATTTGTGCGTTCCTCACTCCACCCCTTTTATTACCGGCTGACCCTCCCCTATAGCTTTCAATATCTAGTGCATTTATCCTTTTCTCCCTCGTGTTTCGATTCGAAACATGTAAGCGACACCCCGATTTTCCCGTATTGTGCCAATCTTTTACAGCTAATATCAGTCACTCCCGCTAGCACTTTTGGCTTACGTGGTTGTATCCTGGGTTGCACTAATGGAATATGCAAGTCCATGTTGATTGGGTTTTGGATACCGTTTGTTTTATTCGAAACAAGTGAGCATTCAAGTTTCATTCATCAAAATTATCGTGACATGATTTTCCACCTACCAGTCATCTTTGGACTCACAGGATGGAAAACATACAAATCTTGTGAGCTGATCATTGCCTTCTCCGAGTTTCCATCTTTAATTTATATGGCTCTCTCAGTGAATTCATCTGCTAGATTTTCACGATTCCCATCGGTCATTACGATTTTATTTCGCGATGGCAAGTTTCTGTTGCAAATACAGTATAACTTGACTAACATTTTCTATGAAGGGTTGGTGTATTACATTGGTAGGACCTGGCTTTCATGTCTTTCCATGACACCCCTTACACTGGTGCACTTTAACAGTGATGATGTGTATGCGATATTTCACCATTGTTCCAACCATGACTCAAGAATTTCTCACAGCTCTGTCTGTTTGCAACTTTCTAATATGGATTGCGGATCCATATGCCTCATACCTTGCGGTCGGGTAAGCAATAACAGTTGTAAAATCCATGATTTTTTCTAATTGGGTTCAAAGCTTTTTCCAAAGCCTCCAAGCGATACTGTGTTCGAGGTTTGCGTCCCCGTTGATATTTTCTCAATCATTTTTCACCATCCTTTTGAAGATTGCTTTTGAACATCAGGGGGATATTTCATGAAAGCAATGATAGAAGCGAAATCGATATATCGTTAAGTCTGCAATCGGACCATTATGGATCGCGCATACGAAGCAGCGAGAATAGAGCGATATCTCCGCCGATGTAATTCAGTGGTTATTGATTATCCTCACAGGACATTTACTGACTGTAGAAACGAAAATATAATATCTGTAGAACGGAAGGGACATTACACTTCTCGTCGAGTTCAAGGACACTGGCAGGAATAAATGTTTTGCAGACCTGATATGATCTTGATCGCTTCGAAGTCAGCGAGGCGAGACGAATATGGGCTTGTTCAAACTAAGCCTCTCAAACGTCAGCGCTCCAGCTGCAACACAAGCCCGCCGTCGTTGCCGCCATTCTACTATCGGGCCGTTCTACATCAATTGATCACAGATCCCGTGATCGGCGGGATTACTTCTCAATCCCAAGCTACGATAACGATGAGTCGGATGACAACAGCCGCCCTCAAATTCAAACCTCACCAACCTGGCAAGCTTTCCATCAGCCGAAACGCATCCCACTCATGCGCCTACTGCTTCGCAACAAAGAAACCAGGGGAAGACCCGTTCCCCGTATGCGCGGGCTGTAAAGCCGTCCGATACTGCGTACGTCGACCGAGGTCCTCGTCGTGTCTTTGTTCAGACCAATTGATGAATCACCCCAAAGAATCGCGAGCACCAAAAAGCAGATTGGAAAGCGCACAAAACATTCTGCCAAAACCAAAAAAACGCCTCAGAAATTCTCGCGCGGATCGAAGCGCCCGGGTCCTCCGGCCTTTCCCCCGTCCAAGAAATCCAACAACGTCTCCAAGATTGGTCAGGCGTACATCTCTACTCAATCCACGAAGCGATCGTCTCAGCCGTCCAGCTTGCGGGACCCCAATTCAACATTGAGAAGGGGTACATACGCATTAGGGTTGGCGAACGCACGAATAACGATGGGAACCCTGCTACAGCGTTTTTTATCAAGAATGTGATGTTATCGACTGACCCAGAGTCGATGAAGATAACGGCGAGGGATGCGGATATGCATCATGTGTACCCTGATAATTTTATTCGTGCGGAGATTCAGCGTATGCGCCCGTATTTGAAAGATACGATGGCGAGGCGGGCGGGTAGCATGAGGCAGGGGGAGGAGTTCATTGGGTATATCAATGTGATAAGTAAGTGACTCCCTTGCCAAAACGCTACGTTATTTTGCGTCTCAGCTTTTCATTCCACAGCCGAGGGAATCCCGCTGTTTCCTATCGCACAATCGATTCCGGCCTACCGATGGAATGAACCAGATGTGGAATGGTGTCTCACACTGAAGCAAGCAGTTGATACGGGACTGGTATATCGTAAAGTTGACGAGCCAAGGGGAAGTTTTTGGGCACCTGGAAAAATGGTTAAGAAGAAAACAAACTGGGTATGGGTACAGCGAGAGACATAGCAGCTATTTCACTTCTCTTGAATTCGCGCACCAGCCACTACTCAATACCCTACCATGTGCGTAGGTCACTGCCGACCTCGTCTCGATGGAAAGTTGGTCGCATAGGGCATAGGCGACTAAGCCTCTCAAGCCTTCCCTTTGATGATCGTTGCACATTTCAATAACAGTTTCGGAATGACATTTGACACGAACACACTGCTGCGTGCCCTACCCGAAGTCGTATGTTTACTGTAAACCTAGAGATCAACATGACGGTCAACCCGACGGCGACGGGGAGCTTGGACTTGGACCACATGGGTATAGCCCTCGTCGTTCGTGAATAGCTGGTCGAGGACGTGCCAATTAGTCTGTTCAAATCCAGCCAAGACACTTGGTGGCATGGTCAGGTTAAGTTGCGAGCAAATTTTCCTCATTTAGTGCATCTATGATTACTGTGACCCATGATGGATGAGACCGTGAAGGAGGTGTGCAATGGGAGGGTTGATACCTATTGTTAAGACAGCCAGCGATACACGATCTATGACGAGTACAACTCCTTCAACTCCAAGCTTATGCAATCGGATGGTCAGAATCAACCAAGGATACGCGACTACAAAACTCACCCAGCTCCTCCCGAAGAGGCCTCAGCTCGTCAACATACGCCTGATACTGCGCTTTGTTCGCCACCTTCTCCTTGATTCCCTCAAAGACCCGAACAGCGGTAGCATAGTCATTGACGCGCCTCGCAACCCTAATAGCAGCCTCTACAACAGAAGCAGACGGCACTAGATCCTGTGCAAAGCAGTTATTGAGGCCCCGTTGAACTTCGAAGAGGTCTTCTGCGTTCGTTTTGGAAGAAATTGACCTAGCGCTGCAAGAACGACTCAAATGACTCCTGGACATGTAAGCTCGCTGGACGGACAAGGAGGGTGGTCCGTGCGGCTGTGGCGACGAGTGAGGGGCGGGCAGAGGCGCGGAGGACGGAGGAGCATCTGAGCACGCATTTTTGGGGGGTGATGAACAGGCAAAACAGAGGCAAGGAATTGTTCGGGTTGTCGGGATTATCCGGTTACTGTAGTAAAATCAGAAGACATTGCATAACAAATACAAAGTCCGTTCAGGGGCAACCGCTGCCAACCACGAAAAGCCCTGTAGACACCTATGCGGATTCCTAAGAATTCTTTCACGTAAAATCTGGACAGCAGTCAAATTCAACGCGTACGTGGCTTTTAAAACAAAATGAATGTCCGTTTACATCGTTGATATGAACCCTGAAAGACCAGACGTGTTGACCTCGACTTGGGATCGATCGATCACCACAGCAAATCGACAGCAAACCCGTAGGAAATGGGAGATTTGACCCCTTCTCTTTATTCTGTAGACTTGCGCCCTCGGAGTCATCGGCTTTCTTCAACATATTCTTGATATATTTTTCAGTGCATCCGAGATAGTACAGCTTTCACTTTCCAACAGGACGCCACCCAGCGCCCACCGCCATCAGATACCATTGACTCCTTGATTTCTAACAGTTTAAAACCGTTAGAAGGGTTTTCTTATCTATCATATATATTTGCATTATAAATTCGATATCTTCGCGACTAAGGGTGATCTTTACCACTGTCTTTGTCATTGAAAGTTGCCCGTCGATTGCCGCAACCCTGGCGGGTCGATTTTGTAAGTCTCAAGTACCCAATTTTTAAAGAATCCTGCGGATTTAACCCCATTCCACATGTTCCAGGTGCAGCTACGGGGACCAGCGGCACGGACAACGGGTATTTGGTAAGTACTACCTTGCCAAAAACATTTCTTACAGCATTAGATCGCTTAAACGCTACGCAAAAATAATCCTTTGATACAGCAAGCGATATCATTAGGACTGCGGTCATTCAAGATGTGAAGCGCCGATAGTTGTTAACGCAAATAATAGATGAAACCCGAGGCTTGGAGTTCCGGTATTCGGTAACGGTGATTAAATCATAATGCGCGCGCAGAGACACGAATACGCATTACTTATTTCAAACCGCAGGAAATAAGTCGATCTGGTCGTATACGCTATGAAGCGCTGATTTGTTAATGGAGATATAGTTGAGACCGAAATGTCCATTCCGTAGGTAGAGCGCCACTTCAAAGACCTTTCTGAACAGCAATGGATGCGCCGATCCATTAGAAAGTTGTTAGAAAGCACTAATACGCACTATTTCAGAGTTTAGGCGATGTAGAGCTCCGGTCGTGGAAGTTATGAGCGCCCATGAGAGTTAAGCGCTCGCCACTCACCAATGTAGCACCTCCAAAATAAAAATCTGTATTCGAAGTAAAACCCCAGTCCAGACGTCTGGATTTCTTGCGTTGGTTTCAATCAGACTTCCGGCGGATAAATTGAAGTATCTTATTTTAATATATGAAGGAATCCAGCTTGAGGCGAACCTGTGATCCAAAAGTAGCGCAAACATGTGGAGGTCGAAATGGAATCTTGATCCGGCTAGCCTGGTTGTACTCAGTTGTACTCGCAATCTTGCCGTCTTTAGGCACGTCATACGCCATCCGCTTTACCTCCCAATCCTATGCAATGGCCGTACATACAGACGGAGCCTCAGGGTGTACTCCAGCCTCCGGCGCAGCCCGCAAAAATTCTCTCTCTTCCCCGTCCGGAAATCTTCAGGGTCTGTGTATCAGGGATACCCTTCAGAAAATGCCACGCAGTGTCATCAGAAAGCGTCGACTCGATCTTACACACAGCGTATGGTGTTTTCTTGTATTTTTGAACTGGTTTTTCGCCTCCAAATATGATCTTTACCGCTGTTTTGGTCATATGAAACGTGGAAGTTGCCAACGAAACGTGAAAGTTGCCAACGAATGCCGCAATCATGACCTGTCGACTTTGTCGACTTTATCAGCTTGGAAGATCTGTTCTAAAGACTGCTACGGATTCAGCACACATCCGTGTATGCTCCGGGTACAGGTTACTGGGACCAGCCGGACTTGCAACGGGCATCCGGCAAGTACAGCGCAATACAAAATCGTTCAGAACAGCATTCAATATGCTTACTTACCATGAGATGCTAGTATGCATTTTTCTAGACAGCAATCGAGATAGCACCGTTCTGGTAGTTCAAGGCATGAACGTTTGAACCGCCGAGATCATGACAAAAATTAAGCGCTCAGATTGAGGACACTCACGGTAAGGTCGGACGAACCAGTCACTTGTAGAATAAAAATTTGTACGTGCTCAAAGCACAATTCAATCTAGTCGTTTGACTTTTCTGTTGTTGGTTTCGGGCTAACCTCGGCTGGATAAGCACAAGATAAACACGGGCGCTGAATATTTGAATTTTGAAGCCTTTGAATTTTCCAAATTACCTACAAAATAAAATGGGGTACTTGTGTTGCTGACCACTTGTTTTATTCCATACCAATATCTTTTTGCGTACTAACTTTGTAAAGAATGAGTGATGAGAATGATACGTGATCCAAAAATAGAAGCAACACGTGAGTGTGGAATCAAATTTTGATCCGACTCATCTCTCTCCTCCGCCAATGTACTCAGTACTGGTCAAGCTCTACTTGCGGTCGCGTTTCGAGGCGAGTCATACACCACTCAATTGTACCTCGAAGTCCTACACAAATTTTTCCACATACTCCGACTACAAGGCGTAATCCGCTTATCGGGGACCTTCAAGCCGAAGCCCGGCGTCAAAATTCTCTGTTCCTCCTCGTTCTCATCCTCCGTCCCGATGTCCTGCAGATCCTCATGATCCGTCAAGTAAACCAGTGCGCATTTTTATCAGCAACTCTATTGCAGGGGCAACGTCCTACACGGGCTTAAGGGCAAATGCACAGCCTCAGCCGTCGGTCGAATTCCCAAAGCGTCATTTCAGCACTGCTTCGGAGGCACTGGTCATGGCACTCACCAAAGCATACTCCTCTATTGACCCTCTCATTGATCACTGTTTTGGTGTGTCCAGGCTTGTCTGTCTTGTTACCATTTTGTGCGATGACCATCACTTTCAGATAGCCGCTTATCACCCTTGTTTGATTGCGGTGTATAACTGGATGGTAACGAGTCGACAATGCACATCACCTCCATTGTCGTATCAACAAAATTCACTTTCCGGGACATATTGTTCGGTGACGCCTCACTTTCGTTACCCACTCCATATATTTTCCGTCGCGATGGCCTACTTATGGGTATGATCGGCACCGAAAGCTGTATCGCGTCCTGAAAGCTGGATACTTGCCAACCTGTCTCGAAATCGGAAGCATGCGTACGTCTGAGACCTTCACAGCTGCGCTTCAGAAGGCTCGTTTGGTTCGTCTCTTGTCCAGAGCTACGATCCTTATCAAGACGGCTCTTGTGATGTTTTCTAGAAATCGACGAAAAGGGTAATCTATAAGGGCGTCTCATGACTCGTTTCGACTATTTACTGCGTCCATCTGATGACTCGTCAGTTGTCACTTCTCTAGTGTACACAATTTCCAAAAGTTGAAACCTCGGGTCTGGCGCTCACTGATCGTAGGCTTGACATTCTGATACCTGCTCAGAATTCTTGGATCTTTCTGCATTATTTGGTACGACTCCGGCTTTGGAAAATCTGTAACGCCGCCCCATTTGGATTACCTCTACCGAGCTCTCCTTCCCCGAGTGAATTATCTGTCATCCTGGCGGTCATTTCGTACACTAAAGCTATGTTCAAGGCCTAGATCCAGTTTTCGCGATCCTCCATGTTGCGTATTTCTATTCCGACAGCATGGTCGATAGACTTGGATCAAGCTTTGTTTATCGCATCACAAACACTTTGAGAACCCAAATCTCCTGTGGCCTTCTCGCCCTTGGGACCTTTGGGACCTGTCATTTTCTGGATTTGTACAACTGTCAACGGGGATTAAGTATCTTCGCAGCGCCTCTACACTGGACCCGCTTTTTTTTGGGGAAGGATGCAGTGACTCAAAATCCCTCAGAACTGCCCCTGAATTAGTTGAACAGCAATCACTTCAGTTGGTCTTTCAATCGTCCTGGATATCTGGCCTTCGCGTATTGGATGGTCCGGTTCTTCTGAGAGTCCCATTGAATGCTCCGGGTAGGGCTCATTCCGTCCCGAACCTCATGTATCGCACGGCTAAGTATGGCTGTGATGTCGGGATGTTCACACGTCGGCGCCAATCTTAACACTCCCGATACTAAGGAACACCGGTTCCCTCGGAAAATCTCTGACATCGGAGAAAAACGCAGGGGAGAGCTGAGAACAACAGCAAATGCCCTCAGCGGTTGCGATGAGGAGCAAAACATATCTATTTTCGATCACTGTGGGATCTTGTCGATTTGCAATCTCGGCTGCCGCTTATTGAAAGTGTTGAAGAGGCGACTGGTGACGTGTGATGATGGAGGTTAAGTAAGTTCATTTCCTCCGTGTGGTGACTCAGGCGGTGTCGACATAGCCAAATATACACTCAATACACTGCCACAGCCCGCCATCACTATGGCCATAAAACGTGGTCATAAACGATCATCCTTGCTCAAATCCCCACAACAACCACACCCAGTTTCGACAACTCAGCTTTCCATCCCATCTCGTAAACTCTTATATCCAAAACGCGACACAGATGCAGGGCAACTATCAGATGAACAACACGGCGTACGACTACTCCATGTCGGCGATGTCATCCACTTCTCTATATTCAATGTCTGGAAAGTCTGGGGAGGAGCCAGTAGCGGGCCCATCGTCTCTCGTCCATCGACGACGCTCATCGGCGGGAAGTGGATCGAGAAAGCGAAGCCCCGACTCCCTAATCTCCCCCGACGCCCCTACGCAGCCAAGGAAATACACAACTCCTTCCGCGACATCCAAAAAAGAGGTCCCCGCCTTCTTTGCGAAGCGTTACCCCCTTCAGGGATCTGACGAAGAGGAAGACGAACTCACGGAGGAGCCACCAGCCGCAAACGCCACGGATCAGGAGAAAATCGAGTGGCGCCGCCGCCAAAACACACTCGCCGCACGGAGGAGCAGAAAGAGGAAGCTTCTGCAGCAGCAGCATTTGGAAGAGATGGTCGAACGTCTCACCAGGGAGAAAGAGGTCTGGCGGACACGAGCGCTGACGCTCAGGCAGCTCCTTCATTCCCATGGCATCCTTTGCCCCGACTTCAAGGACTAACAGCGCAACCTGAAGTCGCTGCAGATGAGGTTGAACGTAATCTCTACTCAACTATAGCACCCGGCACGGCTTTCGAATTCATCAAACCTTTGATTCTCTTGTTGGTGCTTTCTATTAGCGTGGACCGCAGATTTTGCTTGTAAGTCGCCACCACTATTGTCGTCTCACCTCCAGGCTAATCTAACTCTGTACTCAGTTCTAAATCAATCATGTCAAATTGATGAGCCGGCGCGCTGCCGACGCGATTTGCTGGCGTCGATAGCAAATTCTTACTGTGCTCCCATCACGCCCCGCTTTACATCACGGTCATATCCTCTCATCGTACTCTGCGCTTTCTATGTATCATCGAACAATTGTAGATTTTGTAGCATCATGGACGGTTTTCACCGCAATATACCCGCTCGGTTTTGAACTCGTTTATCTATTCTGCGGGAAATTCTTCCTTACCATCTTGCCTCTCAGACGAGATCTGAGATTGAGGTTAAACTCGAAGCCGGCGGAAGGCAGGACGGTAAATAAGCCAGCCCAAACGATCTTGACGTGGACTTGCATACAAAATTCATGTCCGACACTGTCACTACAACACATACGGGATAACAACCTTTCCGATCAACCCTCATCAAGATTGAGTCAAGCGTATTTTCAGACCACATTCAGACAATTCCTAAAAAATCAAGGTTCCCGGTTCGAGGATGACAATGGTAACCTGGCCAAAAAATAGAGATCATTGAATCTGCTGAAATTATCGATCATCCTGTAAAAGGTTTATCATAGCCGATCCTTTGTTTGGGTTTGAGAGTATCGCACCGCTTTAAGAGGCCGAAGAGGTCCCATTCCGTGGTAGGCCTAGATATCTAGGGCATTTCTTTATCATTGGTACGTCGAGAAAACGATTTTCATGATCGATTGATTGTATACACCCTAGCTCCCTGACATACTCCTGTCGTCGACGGTCGTATATTGGTTACCGGGTAAGATTATATGGTTTGACGATCTTAAATACCAGAAAGACAAATATGATATTTTGGCTGAGATCTACGCAGTCCCCGTCAGTCTCCGCTTCGCTGTGAGTGTTTGAAGTCCTGTCCTAAAGAATTCCACAGTCGCTTCGTCCATTCCTTCCAGAGGGCTATGTTCTTTCCATACCCATTTCGACTTTACTTTGACCATCACACCCTGCTTGACCTTCCCGTTAATAGTGCGAAAGACAATCCCCTCTCTACTCCAAAGCCTCATCTCGTTTTGCCAGTTCTCTGGGCTAACAAGCGTGTTGATATCAGAAAAAGTTAGCGTTAAAGGAAAAATCCATTGATACGCTTCAACTTGATCTGGAAAGAAGAAACTTTACACCCTAGAAACTCGGAATATGAAGCACAGCTTACAGAGGCACATGAGGAGCCCAAGGTATCCCTCTGCTCCACGTTCTTTTTCTTCGAAACGTTCCGCAGCAGGGCGCATTGCTGTCAGTTGTCTTCCGTAGGATTCGTGATCGCCCGGAATAGGCATATCTACAAAGTCTGCAGACTCGACAAAAAACGCTCTGGCCGGGTTTCCCCTGTCGGATTTTGCCAAGTCAGACTTTCCCAAAAGGACTAGCGCAAACTTTTCACGAAAGTCGAAAGATGGAGAGTGGCTAATGGCAGTGGCTAGGATTTGCCTGAACACGGGTGTATGGAGGCGGACGAAGTCTTCGATGTTTCTTAGGAGTGTTTCTATAGCGGGGCCATTGGGTTGATTAGCGATTGTGTGTCGAACTTCTTGGCCTATTTTGCATGATTCTTTGTGATATTTCCAATGGGCGATCTGACACTGGCGGCTCTACGAGAGATGAGTATGTCTGAAGCTTTCGTGGAAAGAGAGCTAACACAATAGCGTAGACCTTGACACGCTCCGCAAACTGATAAAGCAGGAGAACCGGGTTTTCTGTAATTTCCGCAATTGGCGCATCCTTCTGGGGTATTTGAGCTGAAGGCGATCTTTGTCGATTGAGATTTGAATGTTGTCCTTGATTCCATGAATCAACTCGAAGGAAGAAGTGGCGTCGTCTTTGAAACGACCTGGAGAGCGCTGGAAGAGTACACCATCAGGCCAAGCGCATTGTTCTTGTTAACCTTTAAGAAGAGGCATCACGTGGGCTGTTAGTAGTACAGGGTAAGTAAACGTGTTCTCCTTGTCGACGACGTACTCCATTGCAATCATGAAAAAACTCATCCTGACGTCATCTCAAGGTCATTTCCAGTTAAAATATGGAAATGAGTTTTGGTGTAGAAGTCGGCCTCGTTTCTTGAATTCTTCAGCAATGGAGGGACAGGGAGGGACTCGTGACTTTGATGAGAGGGCTATCGATCCCATCAGCCTTTCGGCAGAAGCCGCGTGCATTTGGGGGATCCAGGTACTTCGGCGTCAAATGCGACATACAAAGGATCCATGGATCCGTGTGCCCGACATACCGCAGTAACCCAGTCTCCAGGATGCCATCGATGGTATCTATCTCGATTTTAATTCTCACTTCCTACCCCTGGGCCCAGTTGGAAAATTCTGGTATTTCTCTCAGCGTCCCGGCCAAACAAGCTAAATATGGAGGAAGCGCCTTTGAGTTTATATGGACGTTGGACTGTAGCTCGTTGGAGGCGCCTCCGCCCTCTGAACAACAATACGAAAAGGGTTTCTTTCCGAGATGCCTGTTGGGTGCCTGCACCAAGCCTGCGCTAACGGCACTTTTTCGATATTTTTCTAGGGACGGTAAACCGGAATGATAAGTAGGAGGTTTCAGTCTCGAAAGATGGAGGAGGACACTAGTGAGCACAGTGGGTTGGCCCAAGCTCCGGAGCCCGATGGTTTGCAGCACATTTCATTTTTTATGGGCCGGGGCACTTGTTTATCTTATCTTATCAATCTTATCAAATCCACATACACAGCATTTGTCAAGCATCCGGACACATCTCACCGTTCTCCATCCTTACAATGGACTGCAAGATTTGCGAGTTCAAGCAGCGCCAGTTCTTCTGTCAAACATGTTTGAAAACTCAGTAAGTCTTCAAAGAATCTAAGTACTCAACTTACTAACCCACTTTCATAGTCTTCGCGATTTCCAACACCAAACACAGCACTTCGCCGCAGACCGCGACGAGCAAGTTTTAAAAGCATCCAAAGCCCTGGAAACGATCCAAGCCGCTCGACTATTCAGGGCCCACGTGGCAGATTGTCAGAGCAGACTCGAAGAAGTCATGGCGGGTCTTGCGCAGCTGAGGAAAGAGAATGACAAAAGTGAGCAAAGTACCTGATATCCGTAGCAGCGAGCCTTCTCATATCGTTTGGAACTAGAAAGAGATCGTCTCAGAGCCTTAAGAGAATCACTCGCCACTCGTCGTCGGTCATTATCTGCGGCGAAGCTTCAGCCAGCACGACATTCACCAGCCCCAGGTCTCTCACACCTAACGCAACGTGAGACGCAAGAACTCAATGCGTTATCTATGACGATTGCCCGTGCTCGGTCTGGGTTGGTGCAAGAGTTGGTGGAAGTGTTCAACGTCGTTGAGGTGGGAGGTCGACCCCCGATAGGTGGAAAAGCTGGGACAAAGGGTGAATGGACCATTGGAGATCTCATCCTACCCGTTCCAGGAGATATTCGCAGTATGTTTTTTCTTCTGTAGTTTCTTTCTTACTCTCATTTCTGGACAGGATACCCCCCAGACCACATCAACGCCGTCATCACACACACCATTCATTTCCTCTCCTTACTGACATTCTACCTCGGTGTCAAACTCCCTTTCGAATTCGTCTGGACAGGCGGGAAGCTGGGCGTAGGGCAGCCCTGGATCGGCGCCATCATGGGGTCCGAATCAGGCGGTTGGGCAAGGTGGTCCACCAAACACCCTCTGCACCTCTCCTCCTCGCCCAACCCGCCTCAACCCGACGAAACACCACCCACCCCCACCGCGCCGCTCTCCGAATCATACATAGACACAACTCCACCCCCGAACACACCCTCTTCATTCACCACAGCCCTCGCCATGCTTCTATACGATGTCTCGTACCTCGCACACACGCAGAACGTCGATGTACCACTTAGCCAGGCGGGGGACGTGCTGAGTAATCTGTGGAGTGTGTGTTGTAGTGCTGAGCTGGGGCGTCGATCGCATGAGACGACCCCGAGGTTACAGCCGCCTACGGGGCTGGGGTTTCATTTCGATTTCGCACAGCTTTTGCAGGCCACGGCTGCGCATCCGAGGTCGACGAGGGTGATTAGGAGGAAAGCAGGTGGCGTGGGGCATCAGCAAAGGACTGTGGACGTGGTGAAGGAGGAAGAGGAGGGTTGGGATATGGTTGAAGGGGATTCTTTGTAAAATGCAGGGATTCCTGATAGGTCGCATCGATTTTATGTACGAATGACTTTGCATACGGATTACTTTGTGTAGCTATAGTTCAAGTTGTAAAGTGGTTGTATTGCTATCATCGCTTTAAACAATCATGTTGAGGTCTCTATTATTTAAGTGCAGGTCAACTGAAAGGCTTGGCCTTCAAGACACAATACAAGTACATAAATCCGAGACCAATGATGCATTTGACACCGCCGCGTACTGACGAACCTCAAAACAGGGCAGGAAAAAGTTCACGCTGCAGCCTTCTTTGGTGGAATTTTTTTGTGCACTTTTCCGTTGTGCTTTCCGAATTTCTTCAGTGGACTCGGCCGACCTTGCCGAAGATGTGCGTTTGAGAGGCCATAGGCAGACTGGTAAGAGGAGCCTGTGAGCTACCATGCTGCCACCCTGTGTTACGGGTGCTTCACTTCTCCGCGGTTGAGTTGGGGCCGGCCTCTAGACCGTAGTCTGTGAGCTTGAGCGGAATTCAGGGGCATTGACGTCCTCAAGTGGAACCCCGTATTTGGGTGAGTTGGAAGGCAGAGGAGGTAGAGCAAAGGTAGAGAGGACTGAGCCTGACGGCACTCGAAGCCGTCCTGTGGGGGTGGGTTAATTCAAAGGTCTAAAACGCACGTTCCTTACTGCCTGGTCGATGTCATCTTTCTGCGCCTCTATCCGCCATGACGAACGTCTCTGACCGGAAAACAAATCGTCACTCGTGGATTTAACGTTTTGAATTCCGAGCCGCTACACTGCGGTTGACGGGAAGGTTCTCTTCTTTTCATTCCATGATGAGTGCTCGCGTAGAAACGATAAGAGATGCGGCGCCATCTAAAGCAAATCTAAAGAAGAGCATAAATAGGAGTCCCAGGGAGAGGAGAGCTTGCACTACGGTCGCTAAGGAACGAATGCGCAAAATGAGCGCTTTTTGTCAGTGTGAATTCGATGGGGTAGCCTACGAGATTGGCTGGTGGGGTGTTTCGATGGTAAAAGGACGCTTCATGTCGTTCAGGAATATGAGAAGGTGTCCAGGTCACGTCTTCTGTCTTCAAAGCACAGGTTATTTGTCATAGAAAGCGTTTCCAATGACGGCTATCAGATATCACTACATACCGTTCAGTGTAAACCTCCTCTGTACTCATTTTCGGACCCAACTGTCGTGATTACCGGTGAGACCGATAAGGTTGAATGTTGAACAACTTGACTTCTGTGCGGCTGCCAATTCCCGTTCTTACATGCAATGCCCTCTTATTTATGCGCCGAAACCAAAAACTCCGGCTTAACATGTCGAGGGGATGCGTTTTTTGAGGGAGAGATGTTGGTTCGGATGAACAGGTGTTGCATCACGTGCACGCACCTCAACATTTTGCCGCAATCTGAAGTTCCGAACCATCTTCTATCCAACTTCTATCTGTGCTGTGGTGTCTTTTCAACGCACCACCGGTCTTGATTGTCACTGAAAGAATCCTTGGAAAGTTCTTCAAAGCTTCACCGGTCACCCTCTGAGCTGGTTATCTTGCAACCCAACAGCCGGAAGGTTATCCTTGCAATGGAGAATTGATTCAGATCCCAATCAAGTTTATCGAATGGAAGGCAAGTCCTTTAGGCTCCAGCTTCTTCGCTTCCATTCATGGGTCGTGAATGGATCGCCACTTAGCGGTCTTGTCTAGTTTCGTCACGATTCTGCTGATGATTGGGATTCGACCATAGCGATACTGGAATGGTCAGTTATTGCCAAAAATGTCACAGAAGATCCCTCAAAGCTCACACGTCCAGCGGTCAACAATGACTTACCCTCCCTGCGGGTTCACTTTGAATGTGGCAGGTTTGAAGGATCAAACTTCATTTTTGTTTGAGGAAGTTGAAGATGAGTTCCAAGGGTTGTCCAAGGGCCCTCTATTCGCCTCTATTTCGTCCTGGATGAGAAGAAGAATTCGAAAATTGGTCCGATTTCATCACCGAGAAGCCTGAGGTCATGCCGTGCCTACTTAGGCATCCGTTGACGACGGAATGCCGAATCATGCATAAAAGACATCCTATGGCAGTCGAAGGAGGCACATCGACCACTTCGAACCTCTCCCACCTCTCCCACTCTCACAACTTAACCTCCAAATGAAAGGTGCCTTACGCAACGTCACACAAGCCGACGAGGAGCTCTTGGCTACTCTGGGTTACAAACAAGAGTTCAAAAGAGAATTTTCACCGCTTGAGGTGATTGGCAATTCGCGGCTTCAATCTACTGCTTAACCATCCATCCTGCCACCAGATTTTCGGAGTGTCTTTTTCAATTATTGGCCTTCTCCCATCCATGGCTTCCGTACTTTCCTATGCGGTTGTGAACGGAGGGGGTCCCGCCATGGTTTGGGGGGTACGTAACTCGCCCCGGACGATTTATCAATCTGTTATCTTCGTACGCTAAGCTGGGAAACGAAAATAGTGGTCAGTTGCAAGCATATTTACACTGTTCGTCGGGATGGCACTTGCGGAGTTGGGCTCTGCTGCCCCGACATCTGGAGGGGTGCGTTACGCTGATTCGTTTGAGGCATCGATCTCACCTATACTTATCTAGATGTATTTCTGGACCTATTCCTTTGCGTCCCCGCGCTGGAAGAGTCTCCTCTGTTGGATCGTTGGGTGTACGTCGCTATCTACTCAAGTTGACATTCTTGTTCAGACAACGCCGTTAGATTCAAATACGATCGGCTGGGTAGCCGGTGTCGCGTCAATAAACTGGGGATGTGCTGTTCAAATAATGGCGGCTGCCACAATTGGCTCCAACGGAGCATTTGAGCCTTCACCAGCGCAACTATAGTAAGCCAGGTATCCATTAATAAGTTGTCCAAGATAAAACGATTACTCATGCACAGTGCCGTCTACGCGGCCATTGTGCTCTCGCACGGTATTCTTTGTTCTCTGGGAACGGCACTCTTAGCTCGCCTGCAAACCGTTTACATTATCTTGAATGTCTTGTCAGACTTTCAATTGTTCCATCAATAACGTTCAACTAACCTTGCCCTCAGACTACCCCTCGCTGTAATCATCGCCCTACCAGCTGCGACTCCGTCAGAATTTAGAAATTCGGCAAAGGTCGCCCTCTGGGATTTCCAGAACTGTCATTTTTCGCTACTAAGAATTCGGATGCCATACTAATGGGTAGTTCTCTAGCTAACGGATGGTCGGATGGGTATGCATTTATTATGAGCTTCATGTCACCACTTTGGACGATTTGTGAGCGAATTTGACGTTTTTCGTTTCCATAACTCATTACCACCCACAGGCTCCTTTGATGCACCCGTCCATCTTAGCGAAGAGGCGACCAACGCGGCTATAGCTATTCCATGGGCCATTGTGGGTTCTATTGGGGTTTCCGCAGTACTTGGATTGGGTCAGTGTTTCCCCACAAAGACGAAAAATGCACTAATTTTATGCTAGCCGTCAATATATCGCTAGCGTTCTGCATGAGCAGTGATCTAACGGCGATCGTAAGCAACCCCCAGCCAATGGCACATATCATCGTCAATAGCCTCGGACAAAAGGAGCTCTGATTCTGTGGTCGATAGTTGTGTTGGCTCAGTACGCCTTTTTTTCCCCATTCATCAATGTGGTTTTAACCCTAATTTTAATTTCAAGGTACATGATGGGCTCCAGCGCGGTAAGTTCTATAAACTCGACAAAGATTTTGGAATATCTTACTGTTCCTCGAAAGTTATTGGCGAGCAGTCGACAAACGTTTGCTTTTAGTCGTGACGGGGGTAAGGAGATTCAAGAAATTCTTTTGATATGAAACAAGGCTGACACGACATTGTTGCTACAATCAGCCCTTCCATTTTCAGGCTGGTTGTACCGCATAAACAGCTACACGAAGACCCCCATTCATCCGGTTTGGTTTGTGGCCATATCCTCAACTCTACTGGGTTTGCTTTCCTTCACGGGATCTCAGGCCATCGAGGCTGTTTTCTCTATCTCTATCACGGCACTCTATATCGCGTACGCAATACCCATCTCCTGCAGATTTCTCTGCAACGACTTCATTCCTGGTCCATACGATCTTGGAGTATTTGTAAGCCGTATTTTTGACAACATTCCTTGTAGCTTGAGCTAAGCTTGTCACAGAGTTTCCCAGTTGCAGTCATCGCCGTGCTATTTATGATGTTCATGTCAGTCGTTTTCCTTTTCCCTACTACCCCCCATCCAGGTGTTGCGGGTATGAATTACGCTATAGTTGTTCTTGGTGGTGTTCTAGCGCTATCTATTTTATGGTACTACCTTCCGAAGTATGGTGGCGTTCACTGGTTCACAGGGCCTGTCCGAACCATCGATATTCACTCGAGCCAGGATAGCAGGAATGAGGATCAGGAGGGGAAAAACGAAGTAATAGTTGAAATGAAGCAAGTCGTTTGATTCAGGCCACAGCGAGGTTCATGTAGAAATCGAAATAAATATTGGCATTGGTTGGGACAAGGCTTGAGCTACAGCTACCTTTTTTCTCGAACGCGAAACTGTAGCACTAGCAAAACATTCCGAGCTTTGAAACAGTAGTGAAGGTACAGTCATCCACCAGCTAGTGTTACATCAAAAATTGAAAGTTCACTTAAAACATGATGGGGATACACTTTCACTTAAAAATTGTACATTCAATCTTGGTGATGTACATTCTTTGTGTCCTCCAAATTTCGGAGCTCTCAGGTTTGTTTCTGTTGAGTAATTCTGAAAATATTGGTGTAACATTCAGTGGTGGGAGGTTTTCTGCTAAGTACCCCATTTTGAACAAATCACTACATATTTGATGTGAGGAGAGATTCCAGATAAAATTTGTTTCAAAGGAGTATGTTGAATATTGCAAAAGTTATTCAAGGAGCAAAAGTGTAACATTCAGTGGTAGTGTAACACAGGCTGGTGGATGACTGTATATTCGGGCGAAAACAAAAGTGAGGGTATATTCTGGCGAAAAGAAAGCGTCTTTGTATTTCCAGAACCAAAGTCCAACTTCAAACGATACGTCTATGAAAAACCACACAATTCATACTACAGCTAACGCAATGTAACTTAAGGATGGGGGGAAAAAAGGTCAAGCAACTTTCTTCAGTGGAAATGTGTGCGCCTCAAGATCATCCTCTCTCTGCGCGCGTGAGTTGGGGCGGGAGCATCTTTTGTAGGTGGAGGGGGTGGCGCCTTGCCGTCCTTCGGTGGGAGGTTAGATGGCAAAGGGGGAGGCAGAGAGGTAGGAGGCTGCACTGGTCCGTTGACGGGATCTTTGGGTTTGACGGGGGCGTCATCTCTGCGGGCGTGAGTTGGGGCGGGAGCATCTTTTGCGGGTGGAGGGGGTGGCGCCTTGCCGTCCTTCGGTGGGAGGTTAGAAGGCAAAGGGGGAGGCAAAGAGGTAGGAGGCTGGGCTGGCACGTTGACAGGATCTTTGGGTTTGACGGGGGCGTCATCTCTGCGTGCGTGAGTTGGGGCGGGAGCATCTTTTGCGGGTGGAGGAGGTGGCGCCTTGCCGTCCTTCGGTGGGAGGTTAGACGGCAAAGGCGGAGGCAGAGAAGTAGGAGGCTGGGCTGGCACGTTGACGGGATCTTTAGGTTTTACAGGGGCGTCGTCTCTGCGGGCGTGAGTTGGGGCGGGAGGAGGAGGGGGCGCCTTGCCATCCTTTGGGGGAAGCCCGTCCTTGGGAGGGTTGGAAGGTAAGGGGGGAGGAAGAGAACTGGGGGGAGGCTTAGCAGCATCCTTAGGGTCTACGGGGGCGTTATCCCTCCGTGCGTAAGTTGGTACTGGGGCATCCGATGTGGGTGGGTTTGAAGGGGCGGGTTTATTGCCGTTGTCGCCATCCTTCGGCGGGAGTTTCTTCTCCTTGTCCCCCTCTTCAAACTTTTGACCGTCCTTGGGTAAATTAGAAGGAAGGGGGGGAGGAAGGGAAGAGGGGGTAGGGAATTTAGGATCGTCCTGTGGAGGCGGGGCCCCGTTAAGGGGTCCTTTAGCGGGAAGTGCAGCAGGAAGCTGAGGGCTATAAGAATCAATTCTATGATGCCAATCAACATGTTGCTTACTGCTTGGTGGACGTTATCCGGAGAGTAGGGGGTTGTAGCATTGACGGGTCCGTCGGCAACATCGCGAGGGATGATGCCTGCATTAGCGAGTTGCGCAGCGCAAAGAGCGAAAGCGATGAGTGTGTAGAAACGAGAGATTGCCATTTCTTGAATGAGAGCTTGAGAATGAAGTCGTTGGAGGGAGGTGGGCAGTCGGACGTCCCTTTTATACAAATTCTAGTTGATAGCCTCAGTTTGGTCCAATAAAATCCTTCGCATCTTGGGTGCCATTCGACTGCGCAAACGACATAGCTCAGATCCAGAAAACCATGGAGACACGGCGTGCGGAGACCGTTGCAAAAAGTCTTCTACTGCGAGTTTAGTGATGCGACGAGAAAGAGAATAAAAATAGGCACCTTCACCGGAAACAACTCAACCCTTTCAGTGAACGTTCATGTGTCATGTTGAGGTTTATCGCCGCCTTTGGCTGCGGAAGGCGTTGCTGGGAAATAATACTCACCGATGATGGGTTGAGCATTCCAAAGCGAAGAGGGAAAATCTCGGAGGCGAGACAACCCTGAGAGCTGCGGTGATGCGACTGTACACCCTCAAATTTTCAAGCTCGGCGGACTCGAGGCAATTGCTTGCAAACCTAACTTTGACTGGGTGAAGTTGGTTGTTTGAGGGTTTGTAATCAGGGACAATATATAGCGCTATGCATAATTGCAAGTTGGAGTGTGAATTATCTTTGTTCTGTAGGTTACATTTGAAAACCTAA